AAGTAGAACCTGTTCCAAATCGTTGGTTCTTAGTATTTTAGCAAGTTCTGTGCTGTCTGCCGTCTTCAAGTACTCGACCAACTGCAGTTTGTCTTGGATATTTGAGATTTTCTGCATTCTCTCTAAGTGATTTGGTTCGTATAAGACGTAATTGTTCAAGGAAGAGCTGCTGAGAGCGAACGCCCTGTTGAAATACTTTCGTGACTCTTCATTGAGCATATGTAAATTTACAGAAGCCCCGCCTGTTAGAACACGAATGATAAACGTGATGTGAATTTCACCACTTTCTGGTGGCCAAATTTATAGCTTTTACGAAATACAACACCTACCCGCACTCTCTCCGAATAACATGATCTCATTCTGATTCCCCGAGAAATGTTCAATATTCTCATAAATCCATTTCAAAGCCAATTGCTGATCTTTCAAACCCATGTTGCCGGTATATTCTCCAAAACCAAGATTCATAAAGCCAAAAACGCCCACGCGATAATTTAATGTGACCAAAATATTGTCCGCATCAATGAGGAAGTCTGGCCCGTATTGGAAATCGTTCGATGTTCCCTCAGTAAAACCACCACCGTGAATAAATATCAGAACAGTTTTCTTCTCTACGCCACCAGCTTTCGAAAAAAGAACACATAAGATTGAGGCATTAAATGCAGCACACAACTGAATAAAGCCTTTTCAAATGAATGGGAAAGCGGAATATTGGCCTCCCATCACGTTTTTTCTTCGAAAAACGGGAAATTCGAAAAAAAATACAAATCAAACGAACTTATTGCAACGATACATACAATGGCCAAACACGAACTGATTTCATTTCATGCCTCGAAGCAAAGATCTTTGACTTACTTTCGATCATCTTCAAATCGATATATTCAAATGATTCATCACAGCAATTGAGCAGCAAGCGATAATTTGTCACATAATCGCAAATCACAAACCAATAGACTAGACTTAGGTACTGGTTAGATAAAAAACAAACATCGTAGTCGTTTAATCGACAGTTTTCGCTGAAGCGGCTGTGTGCGCCGCACGCGACGAGAACAACATTTGTTTATAATTTTAATAAACATTTCAGTCAGTCCACTTGGTGTACTTTTTTATCGCACATTTTCGGCGTATTCATTGTGTTGTCCAATGAATATTCGAATCATATGGTTTTTAGTTTGGAAAAAAATCAGAGAAGAACATTCGCGAAAAAACGGGGAAATACTAAAAAAAAATTGAATCGCATCGTAAATTTTTTTTCATTAAAAGTGATACATGAAAACAAATTTTTTTCAGGGGCTCTCCATTTTACAAAAAAATTACGTTTCATTATTCCGCTTGCCCATTGAAATGAAAATGTCATAAAACTAACCTGGAACATAAATGTTAACAAACAGACAATTTTCGCTTGTGTTTCCCGTTGCTGGTACCCAACCCGATGAAGTGATGCATCCATCTCCGAAGTTTTGCACCTTTAGGGGTTCAGTCCATTGTCGCACGAGTGGTTGAGGTGACTTCAGATGCAGAAAATATTTTCAATTGATTTGATTGAGTTTAATCTCAAAATAATTGATTTTGTATGTTGACATTTATTCTCTCGCTTCCATTGCTTACCTTGAATCTTCGGTCAACCGTTTCGCCAGTATACGGATCATTCCCAGTTATTGGAACCTCGGCATATGGAATTCCTCGAAATGAATAATACTTTTTGCCGAAAAAGCTCGTTTGTTCTGTGCCTTCGACTGGTCCATTGGTCGTTTGTCTTACAGTAGGGAAATCACAATTTGCAATCGATGTAAGCAATAACAAAATTGGCATCAATTCATATAGTACTTCATACATTTTGAGCTTGCTTATCTGAATTCACGACGGGAAAAAGAAAAAAATTAACCCTAATACCGTGTTTGGGGCACTGGATGACCCAGACGAAGTTTTAAGTTAAATAAAAGTGAAAAGATAACAAATTTAATTAAAAAATGAAAATTAATGGGGAGTTAGACTACTTAGAGGCGATCTTGCGCAATTTTGATTAATTATTGGTACTGACTTTTACCCGCTTAATGCAGGGTTTTTGATTTTGCAGTACATTTTTAGTTTTACACACTCACACATTATGTCTGTCGAATTTCCAAATTACAGATTGTTCACACTTCCGCCCTTTTGAAATGTTTCATTTGAGCAGTGTCGAGTGAACTATAGAGACGGTTGAGACAGTTGCCTCAAGGCACCACGCATTTGTGGGCACCACAAAGAGAGGAAATGAAAAAATGTTATGAATTGAATATGAATTTTTGATGCCCCAAGGAGCTGTGCCTAAAAATTGTGATGCTCTGAAAAGTTTTTGTATGGTGGGGGAAAAAGTGCGGTTTTTCAAAAAAAAAAAAAATCTTGCTCGCTGCCGCTCGCATTTAAAATATAAACCACAAAATTTTGCTAATTGCAACCAAAATTATTATTTGAATGAAATGTTTGAAACAAAGTAAAAATTGCAACTAGTTTTTCGAAAAATTTTCAAAAAGCACCAAAAAAAATTGCCTCAGGGCACCACGAAACATTAACTCGGCACTGCATTTGAGAGCAACCACCAATCTAATCGAAGAACAGGTCTTAATTTATTCTTAATAGCTTCTAATGAATGTCATTGAGTGTGATTGAATGCATGCCATGTCATTGATAGTGAATATTATTAACAATGAATTATTTCGGAAATGCCACCACATACTTCAACTAAAACTTGTAAATCAAAAGCCAAAGTGATGAATGACTGAGAAGAACAGTCTTTTCAGTTTAAATCTACATTGCACTTTGGGGGAGAAGGGACATTTTTTAATCTTCTCTGAACTTGATAACGAATTCGATTGAAACACTTCAGCACGAACTAGTTAAGTAACGCAAAATTTGAATTGCATTTAATTCACTCAAACGATTCCACATTTCCATTCGTTTTCAGTAAAAATCTGGTTCTTACATTGCACAGGTGAATATGAACTTGTTCACTTCTTTAGACTGAAAAGCATCACAGCGTATCAACCAGTTGTTTCAAGCGCTCAAAAGCAACTGAGTCTGAATTGCAAATACTCACCTATTTCAATGGTTTTGAAAGAGATATTACACAGGGATAAAGTATAATAAGTAATAATTGGTATCATTCGTCATCTCACCGGAATTTCGGGGGGGTGGGGGGTTTGGAAGAGTGTAAACGAGAGTCAAACTAATCAATATGTTGTAAATCACAGATGATTATGTTGTACTTATCATCACATAGGCATTTCTGATACAAATCTAAAATAAATTAAACACAAAAAATTGCAGGAAAAATTGAAAATGTCAAGTTTAAATTCCTGGTTTTAATAACACCTGTAACGAAAGTCTTGCGACAAAGATTTTGTGTCCGCATTCGGTTAATTCTCAAAATATTTAAAATCGTATGCCTAGATAATTAAGTTTGATTCCTTAGCATTCGATAGAAACCACCGTGGAGTCTATATGAACCATATCTTCTAACTTATAGGACAAAACATTGAGAGCTGATTTGCTCATTTTTATGCATTTTTGCAAATTTGTCATTTTTTTGAAATTTTGATGACTGAAATAAAACTCAGAGTACAATGAAAACAATATTCACCACTTGAAATATCTCTAGATGAGTTAGACTAAGAGAACTTTTTAGCTAAAAATCATCACAATTTTCTATAAATAATGGAGAGAAAATCGAGAAAATATGATTTTTTGGCCGTCCAGGTCTTAAATTTTGTTTCCCAACATTTTACGCTCTAGGTCAGAAAGTATCGTTTACTTCCACCCTAAAAGCGTTTCTCTTTTACGTTAGGGGACCCAACTAAATGATTCAATCATCTGTATCTATCTTACTTTGAGAAAAAGTATAATTTCGAGCCTTCGAATTTGTCGCAAGACTTTCGTTACAGGTGTTAGTTTGCAAATTGATTACTTTGGCAAGCTAATATTGTTTGCCTGTTCTAACCTCAACAGAATTGAAACAATAAATCGTTAAATTATATCATACTGGATTTACACAGCTGGGTGTTAATAATTAAGGAGTATCTTTTGCCTAACAGTCTATCTCTTTTAGGATTTGCTATCGTTTAAAAACGTGAAGTTTAAGTCCACCAAAAAGAATTATTGTTTCTATGCTTTTCGGATGGATGTCTTGCCTCAATGGAATCTTTTGTAATGAACTGATGAATAAATGAAATTATAATGTATTTAACCAATGGACATTGGACATTGGACATTCAGCATTAGAACAATAACATTGACCAAGCACTCAAAATAAGTGTTAATTTTCATCTTAACACAAATCAAACCGCATGAACATGCAATTCATGTAATACAATTTTGTATCGAATTCTCACTAGAATCAATATATCTTCTTCACCTTACACAAAACGTGATCTAGGTGTTCAGAAAATCGCAATGCGGGAGTATACCCGTTTGAAAAAAAAATGACTGACTGACTATAACTTCAGTTGACTCTAGTTGATTGAATTTATGTTTTTGTTCTAAGAAAATCGCTTTGTCCCAAATGAAGCAACTTAGATTGACTTGTAAGTTCAAATGATTTCAGTTAACTATGATAGACTTACACTATACTTTGTACTGAAATGTCAATCAAAGTAAGTCATTTTTGTCTGAAATTAGTTAACTGACTGCTCAGTTACTAATCCTTTTTTTTGTCGTGGTTCTTTTTCATAAACAGCCGGAGAACTACCAAAATACCGACCTTAAAATTGTTCGAAACGGTCCAGAATTTATGCGTAAGTACATACCAACAAATTGAATGCTAATGCGTCACTATCATTGCATATGAATATACTACAACGAAGCTTTTATTCCAGATTCCATTTAACTAGCCTGTACTGTTTTTTTTTTGTTATTTTACAACTTTATTTCAATCATTTGAAGATAACACTTAAATAAAACAATATTTACAACAATTTATGTTCAGCATGAAGCAAAAATGATGCACATGTACGTTAGTCGAGGTGAGCTTGTTACAAAAATATAAAAAAAGAAGAAGTTATTTTCTTATTTCTTTATTCACATGTATTTTAAAATTACATTGAAATCAGAAGGTAAATCGGTTTAATTCACTTCGAATGCCCGCGCACGTCAGGCCACCATCAATTGGCAGAAGCACACCAGTCAAGAATGTTTCCGAAGCCAAGTAAGCGATGGCTGAACTCGTATCCGAAACCTCGCCAACTCTGTCCACTAAAAATTCATGTTTACGATCTTCGTAGAATTGATTTTCATTCGATTCATTGATTCCAATCTGTTCAAAAATTGGGGTACGGATTGTGGCTGGATTTATCGAATTCACTAACAAAAAAAAAACCAATTAAACCATATTACATTTTTAAGCCTTGCCTCCACTTACCTCGTATTCCCTTCGGAGCCAATGCTATCGCGGAGCATTTTGTGAACTGATCCAATCCAGCTTTGCTAATACAGTATGACGTCATGTAATCAAATGGCCGTAATCCACAAACGCTGGAAACATTAATGATATTTCCTTTTGTCTTTTCCAAGTGAGGCACCGCCAAATTCGTTAGAATAATAACACTCCTCACGTTTGTATCTAAAATACTATCAAACTTTTCAACATCAAAATATGCCACGCTATCTGCTCCAAAGGCGCCTGCACTGTTTACAAGAACGTCAAGTCGACCAAAATGCTCGATAGTTTCATCGATAATGCGTTGCGCGTCTTTTGTCACATCGGTCACGATCGGAAGTGGTGTTGGTGCACCAGATTTCTTTATTTGATCGACCACTTCACTCACTCGTTTCTCATTTCGTCCAACAATCGACACTTTTGCTCCCAATTTTGCCAGATGACGAGCTGCATCGGCCCCAATTCCACTACTTGACCCGGTTATGATCACGACTTTTCCTCTTAAACTCATTTTGACCGTAAGACTTCTTTATATCCAAATCGCTGTTTATGGTTTCAAGTTATATATCAGACTATGACTCTTAGTGCTCAGCGCAATTGCATTTATACCAAGGGAACAGATAAATTACAAAAGTCTACACGCAGATCAATAACATATGAGATTTAAATATTGATGGCAGTCCGACAAATGACACTCCATAGACTGTGCATTTCAAGCACAAATATCGAAAGTGGGAGTTTTGGCGTCACGCCTATATATACAATAGGTATGCTATTTTGTCAGGACAAAAGTGTATTTCGCATTCCCTAATGAAACATTTTATTGGAAATGAGGAAAACAATTGCGTCACAACTTTTGAATTTAATTTTTGCCAAAGTGTTTTGCCAAAAGTTGTGACGCGATTATTTTACAATAGTAAATGCGTCAGTCCATAGAAGTTGCAAATCCATAGGAGCGTCATTCCATTTTAACCTTTTCTAGAGATTTTTCATCGGATTTATCTGCAATTCCACACCAATTCAGACTCTGATTAACAGAAAAGAGTTGTACTGTAGGGTCGGCGAATTCGCTGAAAATTGAAATGGAGTTTTGTTTTATTGGCTTGGGTTTTGGTGCTGCCAGTTACAGACTGTCACACGCTTTCGAGTATACGTATTGTAACTTTTTTGAAAATCTAAAAAAAATCGAAAAAATGAGTTTGCGGCAACTGAAATCTAACTGAGAAGTAGTTGATACATTGCCTAACCACTGGTATCGTTGGAAAGGGAATTAATGGGGCTACAAAAAGCGCAGTAAATATATTTGAATTTTCTGTGTTTTGATAAATACGTTGTTTATAAACCTGATTATTGGCGTTCTATATTAATCATGATAGATGCAACAGACTGAATGAATTGAATGAACTGTGTAGCAGCGATGAAAACATGCTCACGCACACAGTCACATTCACCTCAGTTAATTCAAATGTTGATTGGCTGTCGTTTTTTCACTGCTGATCGGCTTTTGAGTAATTCGTAGGTAAAATGCCAAGTACAAATCATAATTTATCAATCATCGATTTATTTGCGCGCCGCTTATGACCATGACAATCATTATAACCTATTATCATTTTTGTTAAAGGCTCTCGGAAATTTGTGCCTAGAACGTCAAAGCAATTGACATTTCAATGCTTTTAAATCAGTAAAACGTCAATGCTGTTAACGACATTGACATTTTAGGCAAAAGCAACATTGGCGATTTCCTAGAGCCTTTGTTTTGATTTCCAACTTCCTACATTTTGATCAACACCTATGTCAATGACGCCATGAATTAAATGAGTGGTCGATTATTATCACGACAATAGAACAAAGACGAACATTCGATACTTGAGAAAATTACACACAGAAATAAAATGTGGTAGGTTTGTGCTATCTATTGGTGACGAGCAGTGTTTTTTTTAGATACGATTTTTGTATCTAGATAAGATACAGATAAAATTGAATTTTTTAAAACCCATCTAGATTAGATATAGATAAATATCTAAATAAAATATCTAGATACTATCTATTCACATATCTATCTTTTTTTTAAAGATAAAATTTAGATATGAAATATTCCAAAAATGTCAGGATTTTTTTTCGTTTCCGTCGAGATAAAATTGAGCAGTGCGGTCAGAGAGGATTATGAATTGAATCCAAAATCGGAACGATTTCTTCGAAAAGTATAAAATGTATTTTTTTTTTCAATAAATTCGTTATAATATAATTCGTCGCAATTTTCAATTATATTCTAATATTGAAACTAATGAAATAAAAATAATCTGATATCTGACTGTAATACAAAATGTGATAAACGATAAAAATTGAAATTGGCTTGTAAAATTGGATTTTGATATCTTTTTTTATATCTTGAATCTATTGAATAGATTTGACTTAGTGTTTTCTATATAGGGGGCGTTGCTGCAGGTTGAGAATTGCTGCAGGTTGAGAAACGTCACTTTTTTTCACTATACGTGATGATACCGCCATCGCAATAGCTGTCAAAGTCTTAGTTTAATGCATGATCACTTTTGAGACTTGTTTCGACAGAACTGGCATTTGTTTTGATACACTAACAATTCGACTGTGATTTTTTGTGCGAAAAAATTTATTCTGGTTTTTGCTAAGCGTTATAAATTGACATTTAGCATAGAAAAAGTGGTCGGGTAAGCGTTATTTTATAGTATTTTAATTTCTTTTTATGCTTCAATATGAATATATGTGCATTTTGTGGTGTTGAAAAAAAGTTGTGAGTCTCGGAAAAAATGTCTATAAAACTGCAGGTTGAGAAAGTGATTTCGCTGCAGGTTGAGGATAGGTAAATTTCAGCAAATTATGCATAAAAACGATTTAAGTATTGATTTCGTTTGTAAATCAACACTGAATCATCGTTGAAGTGCATATAAGTCATTTTAGTGTTCTTTTTTTCAAAAAAATTTACGCCTTTTTCAGCACCTTCAGAAAATTGACCATAAATTTTGTTTTTGAAAAGCAATCGCGTATGTTTCTTTGGCAAAATTATAGCTCTAGACATTATCTATCCAACGATACCATATACTTTTGTAAATGTTAACTCCAGACAAAGTATTGACCAAATTATAAAGTGGTAGCCAACCTGCAGCAAAGTCCCCTATAGATAGATACGAGATATTTTTATTTTTTTATTTTAAAATCTAGATTAGATATAGATATGTATCTATCTATCTATATCTAATATCTAGCGATAGATACGTATCTAAAAAAAACACTGGTGACAAGTATAGTTACCACAAGTCTTAGAAAAGTTACCACACGCACCAAACT